TCACATTTGGAACTTTAATACAATAAGACATATATTCAGATAACAATATTTAATACAATTCATATTTTAAACATAAAAATATATAATACGATCTAGAAACCTAACAATACCTCTCCAATAGCTTTTCAGAATCCTCACGTGTTCTTGAAAGCTATTAGCAAGACCCAATATAGCTTTTCCAAGTGTAGCTCTGTAATAGCACAGCGGTCAACTGCCATACCACATGCGAGTTATAAAAGAATGAAAATGAGAAATTTTAATAAAAGAGACTTTTAAAATAAAATTAAGAAACGTTTATTAGCGTGCGATGTTTGAAAACGGGACTACTTCCTTTACGATTTTTAAATGTCATGAAGTAATAAATAATAATTTGTGAAGATCCCCTACACATTTTTGTATATATGTATTTACATTTTTGTCTTAAAAATATATATCATCTGGGCCTTTTCAGTATTTTATATTTATTTTCCTGCATATACTCGTATCAGTAAGTAAGAGAAGGAATTACATCTAAACTTCTGCAAGCGGAAGCATGAACGATATTTGACGTCCTTCCAAAACTTTTAAATTCTGTTTTGTACAAAGGTCTGGTACTGTATCTCGTGCCTGAAGCATAGAACAAGAGCGTGGTGATATTGTTCTTCAAGAAAGGTGATAATATTCTCCTGAAGAACTCCAGACCCATGTCGCCCTTGAGCCACGTTTACAAACTGTTTTCTGGGGCCAATGCAAGTTGTCTCGAAAGCAAGTTTGATGGAGACTTATGTTCTGTAGTGGACCACACACTGCTGAGATGGATGGATGGATAAATAGATATATCATTTACATCACTTTTTATGACAAAAATAAAGGACACTTTTCCCTCGAAATAGTTTGAGAGAAAAATTATGATTATTATTGGAAGGTAATTTTTTTCTGCTGTGTTTTTTTTAAACTAACGTCGTAAAACATTTTACTAGTTTTATCAACATAAGTTATTTATAATCCTTTAGTTTTTTAATGAATCGCTTAATTAAAGGCTAATGAACAGGATTTAATATCGTGGAATAAAAGTTTATATTAATATTATAGTACGAAATGTCTTTGGAATAGGAATTGGTGTATTTTTTATAACTTTTTTTAAAGATAAGATGATAATGGCAAAAAATATATATCTGGAATAGTTTAAAATTTAATTACATTGTTAGTTATCCAATTACTAGCTATAGAATATAAAAGTTTTCATTGTTCTAACATATATATTATATACCTATACAAATTGGGTTCCTTTTTTTGCTTCTCATAGCATTTTTCGTTAATACTTTTCTCTAATTGTACTCTATAACTAGTTTATTATATACAAAGGACTAAAAATATTGTGTCGGTCATTGAAACCCAAGATGTTTCGAAACTAGTCACGTACATTTAGTGACACTCCAATACGGCTCCTCAATTTAAGAAACACTCCAAAGACATTTAATGATACTTATTCGATAAAACCTTTTGCACTAAATGGTATCCAATAATCAATTCCGAGAACCTTAAAGATGAAATAAAGGTTCAATGTTATACTATTGATATGGTACTTATGACACATAAATAATGTTTTTTTAATTTTATACATATAAATTATATTATGTCAATAATCTTCAATTTAAATTTAGAGAGTAAATAATATCATTATCTAAAGAAAGTATAAAATAATTAAAAATGTAAAAGTTTCGGAAGAAGAGGTACAACTATTTAAAAAATAATCCTTTTATAAATCATACTACATACTATGTGATACATATTTATCTAACATGATGAAATAAATGCACAATGATAAAGTCAAGAAACCCCTTTTCGCATTACTTCAAGTTATTGAATTCATTTCGAAAGTGTATATATATATTGAATTTTTTTCTACTTGATTTAATAATCAAAGAAAGTGGATGCTCATCAAAATAATGTACTTAAAATAGGTAGGATTTATATACTATATCATAAATACTTCGAAATCTTGAAGCTAAATTTCTAGAAAATCATTATGTAGTTTCTTTTATTTTCCCCTCCTTCGCTGTGTACGGAAAACAACAGATTTCTAAATAGGGTTGCTCTCTGAAAGTAGTTAAGACCATTCTGTTACTTCAAAGCAGAGCATAACACAACAATGTATATTCACATGTTTGGTGCTGACTATGTTGTCTAAAAAAAAATTCTTTTACTTTAGCTAATCTTCGTATCACAAATTCTAGACTTTTGTTCTCAAGCTTAGTATAAAGTATGTAATTTTAGAATATTTTTACAAAATTTTATTTACAAGAAATATAGTATCACGTAAATATTTTGGTACATTCTAATCACGGTTTGCATATAATTTACATTTTGTAGAAAACGACCCACAGATGGCTTTAATACAGAATAAAGTTTAAAATTCTTTAAAAAGAATATTATTTTTTACATCACGCTAACCTGTAACAAGGATTATGTCGGTCGCAGTAGTACAAAAGTGAGGTATTTAGTTATTATTTTATTTCGTACCTTAAAATGCGACAAAATTGTAACCAAAGCGGTTTCAATTATAAATTTCGATAAATTAGTTATAAATTCAGTTGAATAGACAAACTGTTGCTTTAAACAGCAACATTTAGGTTTTTGTCACGCCACATTTCATTAAATGTTATAAAATTTTAAATCTTTTACTTATTTAATAGTTTTTTTTTTGCTTTTATTCAACATGTAACTACACGATTTACTTATAAAAACTGTCGCTGCAATGAAAAACTAGACTTTTTATGGGATTATTAATGTAGTTTTTTTTTCAGGTCACATTTAAACTATATATGTATAAGTTTTATACAAATACTATCTTTTATTTTAAAACTTATCAGTTCTAATGTTAGTGTATAAAAAAAAAATCAAATTGCTTCTTTTCTGCTTCAATTTCACTATCACAAGTTTAAAAAGTACAAATTCTAATTATTATTCCTTAATAACTAAAAATCATTAATTTCAAATGATACACTTGTGGCAACTCCATTACTTTATATTTTTTATTACTGTGATAAAACGAATATTAATATTTTATTATATTTTTTCTATATTGTATGCTACATCAACATTCCATTTGAAAGGTTTCTAATCATTTTTAAATATTTTTAGTTGTTGCCTTTAATAAGTGTATTGTAAAATTTTTCAAATTAATAATGAGTCATAAGTCAATGATTACATAACAATTATCGTAAGAGACCAAGATCCTAGGGCCCTCAGACTTTTAATAAAAATTACTTCAACTAAAAAGTTAAGATGAGAAGTATTTTGATTTCTTGCTTTCATAATGGGAAAACTTTATGGTAACTATGTATTTATTACTAAGACATAAATAATTTGTTGAAATAGTAGCGGTATAACTGCTTTGTTATAAAATAAATCCGCAGGAAAATTTCGAGGACATATAGCCAATCACAAACAGAAGGAAAAACTAAAAGTTGGCTCCACATTCCAGGACCATCGTCGTTACCTATTATTGGTCAATTTCATCATTTCCTTCCGGGAAGTATGTAATGTTAATAATACTTAAAACAATATTTATTATAAGATAATATTAGGTAAACAATAATTCACTGATATACGTTTTGTTCTTCATAAATAATTAGGTCCCCTTTACGAATGTAGTGGTTTTGATTTTCAAAACCACTTGTATTCAAATTACGGACCCATAGTAAAACTTGATAAACTTCTGGGACGAGAGCCCATAATCTTCATATTTGACGCAGAAACTTCGGCACAAGTAAGGAAGTGTATATATTTTTATGTTTCAAATCAGTCAAACCTTTAGTTAAGGTAAAGCATTTATTTAAATTGGTAATAGAATTGAATATACGAGTATAGTAGTACATATAGTATATTTTTGATTCTAGAGCAATGAAGTTTCTGATTTATATCTTACTAAAAATATTTCTTTGACAATATTTTTACATGCTCAGCCAATTTCAAGTATATATTTCAACTTTTGTGTGTATCTATGTAGGTACTCCGAGGAGAGAATTGGTTGCCTAATCGCCCAGGATTTCCGTCGCTTGAATATTACAGAAAACATTATAGCAAACAAAAGAGAGACCCATCAAAACCAGCTGGCCTTGTCAATGAGTAAATATTGTTTCTTAATGATTAATTATTTTAATATATCGTTTAGGTTTATATAACAGTAAATTTAATGCATTCTATTTTAAAACATGCCATAAATTACGTTCTTAAAACTTTAGTGAAAATATTTTCAGCACGGGAGAAAATTGGAAAAATTTAAGAGCTATGGTAAATCCTATTTTACTAAGAAAAAATATTATCAAACTTTACACATCAGACATCATCCAAATTGCAGAAGATATGGTGAATAGGTATTTGCTACTTATAGATATACTGAGTATAATAAACCTACTTCTTATATGCATGTTACATTGACATGTATCCTATAATTTTAATTCTGGTAAAGTTTTTAAATCCTTTACAAACTTTCAGAATAAGATTAAGGCGCAACAAACGAAACATAATAGAAGATAATTTTAACATTGAAATGAACTTGTGGGCACTTGAATCTATAAGTGTCATAGCATTAGGTAGAAGACTGAATTGCTTTAATCCCAATCTTTCTAATGATTCGCCAGAAAAAAGACTCATCCAAATTGTTAATGATTTTTTTGTTACTGTTGATAAACTTGATTTCAAGCCTAATTTTTGGAGATATATTTCAACTCCGACATTCCGGAAAGCTATGAAACTTTATGAGAATCAAGAAAGGTAAGTAAAAAACTATTTATTATTATATCTGTTTATCTCCGTATGTCAGTGTGTCTGTCCGTGGTAAAATTGATTTCACACGGAACTACTGACTCCGATGACTTTTTTCAAATGAAAACAATTTTTCATTTCAAAGCGTTTGTTTTTTTTTTTCAATTTAAGAAAATTTGTAATTATAACATTATATATCTTTACATTCGTTCTGTATACATAGTATAAGTCAACATTTAATACAAGAAGCAATGGCAAGTTTGCGTGTAAATAATAATATCAAAGGTGATAGAGAAAAGGGAGTTTTAGAAAAGTTAATCGATATTGATAAAAGAATTGCTGTAATATTGGCTGGAGATACCCTGTTCGGTGGAGTTGATACAGTAAGTAAAAACTACTTTTATAATACTAATACTTTTTCGTCCTGCTAGGTATTAATACTAATACTTTTTAGTCCTGCAAAGAATATAAGGTTAATTTTATTGATTTCAATCTACAAATATCATTTTCACGTCAATATTTTAAACTTTCAAAGACAGCTAATACTATGACTTCAACGCTATATCTTCTTTCGCAAAATCAAGAAAAACAAAATATACTGAGAGAAGAACTACGTTTAGGTGGAACAGACTATTTAAAGGCATGTCTGAAAGAATCTTTACGAATGTTACCAGTAACAATGGGAATCATAAGAAAGCCAACCAAGGAGTATAGCTTACTCGGCTTCGATATTCCAAAAAATGTTGGTAGAGTTATTTTTTATATTTTTTTTTATTTTAAAATTGCTTTTTAAACATAATTTAAATTAACAGATGAACATATTCTTTGGACATCAACTCCTTTCCATGATGGAAAGTCACTTTCCAAGACCCAGTGAGTTTCTACCAGAAAGATGGCTGGTTGACAAAAACGATCCTCTATATTTTGGACAAGCCCATCCTTTTGCATATACTCCATTCGGCTTCGGTGCTAGAAGCTGTATTGGTAAATTAAAAAAATACGTTAGATTTTTTTCTTTTAAAATGTATTTGTTGAACTATGAAGACTTCCAGCTTATTTTGTTTAAAAATGTTTCAAAGTTTAGTGTACTGGTAAACATAAGGTTTTGTTTCTAGGTCGTCGTATAGCAGACCTGGAGCTGGAAACTTTACTTACGAAAATGATAGAAAACTTTCATGTGGAATGGTTTGCTCCTCATCCAAAATTTAAATTCAGCACTCTTAATTACATGGCACCACCTTATAATTTCATTTTTAATGATATAAAATAATAAAAATGGAAATCCGTAATCTCAATATGCCTACTATTGACCCATCTTGATGTGTTGATAAAATACACTTAAACTGATTCGCCTTAAATCCATCAGTAGTGGTTGGTTTAACTATCATTAATAGATATGTCAAAGCTTAAAAATTTTTTGCGTTTGATATATCCCTTATACTTGTTATCATTTCATACGTTAAAAATGTTTATGACAATATTACTTAATGCTTATGATTTTTTTATTTAAAGCGATATATGAATGTTAATTTTGTAATTTATACAAACATATTAAAAAGTTATCGCACAATTATGACCTTTCCAAAAATTATATACCAAAAGTCAATGTGAAATTCCTATACGAAATAAATTAAAAGATCAAAGTGTACGCAAAAACTCAGCTTTGGTTTGTTTAAAATTTCACAGGAATAAGTTAAATTCACATCATTGCATTATATGTAGCAGTGAGATATGTATAAGCGATACATGTTATATGTTTATATATCTATGTTAATCCTAAAAGGTTCTACTAATTACTGGTTCGAGAAAAAGAACTGAAAGACATAAGAGCCAAGCCCCAGCTTTACGTTTTTACACCGATAATTAAAATTAAACTGTAAAAAAACATGAAAGGAAATAATTATATTTTGTTATCATGATAATAATAAAATTATATTGGCACACGAGTCTGTGGTAATGAATTATAATAAAAAAAATATTTTATGCGAAAAAAATTACATACTATATGTACATTAAAGTCATTTAAAAGATTGTTTGTCAGAATTTGTTTTGTGGGTCGTATGACCGTATCTTATTTTGTCTTATCGTATAAATAAGACAAAATAGTATGTATTTGGATTGCATTTTTTATAACAAAAAACCTTTTTTAATTCTATATATGTATAACTAAGTGAAATATTTATTTATAAAAAAAAATATATAAAAATGCAATAACAGACTTGGCAAATATTTTAAGCAAATAATCATTAATCATAAAACATTTATACTCAGTTCAACATGGAGAAGTATTTTCGGACTGTAATAGTGCTATATTGAAAATTTGTATGCTTTAAAATAAATTTCAAAATAATAATAATTCGCTAAGGTGCAAATTGTTCTCGACAGAATATTAAAAATTCTCAATATTTGATATTGTTTTTATATAGAATTATTGTAACAAATTCAAATGGGAAGTACATTCGGAAACAGAGTTAGAAACTGCAATACTTTAAGATTGAAATCGTGGAATGAAACCCTTGGACCCACTACAACTTCTATTTTTTAAGACTTGCACCATCACTTACCTGGAGATCAATAAAAGTTAAACTATCATACAAAGTCTTTGATTAAATTTTTTTTACTGAATACAATAGAAACACATATTCAAATGTAATTATACATAATAATGAAACTTCGCTGTTAACATTTAAAACTACAAGTAACTCATTAACGAATTGTGTTGTGATATTATTGTTCCGATTATATATATTAAAATTGGAACTTAAATAGTATTTAATTTTTTATTTATTTACTTGTTCGATCCAGACAGGTTAAAATTTGTTGATGTATCAAAGTCTCATTAATTAATAATTATTAATACACAATGTCTAATATAGTCAAAATTTATCGATGTTATCGTAGCATACCTGGTCTTTAAAATTATATGCCTCTTGAACCTTTCTTTGTATCAACACACTTTTAACAAAGTAAAAACTATGAAAAAACTCTGAGGAATATATAGATCACCAAGTACAAACACATAAAAACATATATATATTTGTTCGAACATATGTATATTCACCGAAAAAAAAATTTAAAAACTAAACAGTGACCTTTCAATAATTATGAAGCTAATTTTGACCTTTTCATCAAAGGCAGGGTCAAGCACAATAAAAGAATGAAATTCAATTAATCCTGTTATGTTGCAATAAAAATTGCATGTCACTGTATACAAAACTTACACAAAAGAAGATGTTCGAGATATGATTTTATATAAAACTTTTGAAGCATATCAACTCTATTTCAAATATTACCTGAGATAACTTTTTTGGTTGAAAATACAAAGAGGTAAAAATAATATGATAAAAGATTCGTTCCCATACGAAATGAGACTTTGGGCTTTAGAATCAATTTCAACAGTAGCCCTAGGGCGAAGACTTTATTGTTTTAGTAATATATTACGAGAAGACTCCAGAAAATGAGCTCTTATAACGTATTTGGAATTTTGTCCTAGCAACTGAGAAACTCGACTTTTTAACGTCTGGAAATATTACAAAACTAAAACATTATAAAAGTATAAAGTTACAAAAATGATTTAGAAAGGTATTTCTTTGTATAAAATTTTCTTAATCAAACCTTCGCAAGCCACATTAATCATTTTTGAAGTTATAAGATTTATAATTTACAAATATTTGTTTTAAGGGAAATTAGTTCAGTGAAACAAAATTTTCAAATTGTGTTTGTACTTTATGTATAAGTTTAAAGGAAAACCGAGATAGAGGTGGTCAGAAGCCAGATCTAATATTTTTGTAAAATTAATGATTAATTATAGATAAAAAATTCAATAAATTTGGCCAGTGACGTATTGTTTGCTGGAGTTAAAATGGGCAATGAGGAAACCGTTAAAGATTATATTTAAAAAGAACTATCGCTATTAGGAAATATATTCAAATCTTAAAATAATTTTGACTTAGAATTCTGTTATTACTGTTCATTACCTTTTGGCATGTAACTTAGAATAACATATGAAACAGAGGAGAAATTTTGTTAAACTCTTATCAAGGACAGTTTCTGAAAGCAGGCATAAAAGAAACATTGAGTCTCTTACCTATTTCAGCTCGGAATATGCGTCTTACAAATAAATATTTTAATCTCTTGAGTTAACACATACGTAAAAAGGTAGATGTATAAATGTCTAGCGTTTATAATATATAAACATTGTTTATATAAATTAATAAAGTATATTCCAGTAATGCATCATATATCCTCACCATATTTTATGCCTCATGGAATCCCAATATCCGAGGAGCCGTGAATTTATTCCGGTAAGGTGGCTAGCGGACAAGACAGATCCATTATACTACGGACACACCTCATACCTTCCTATCGGATGTGGTACAAGAACACACATAGGTAACAAATAACAATTTTACTATTTCGTCTGAAATATTTTTTGCAATATGTCCTAGCAAACAAAACAATGGATCAATAGCCAAAACAAATATGTTGTTATTGCTTAAGTATTTCTTTTAACAAATATATTATAATTTGCTACTTTTACCAACTGAAAACTGAAAATTTAAAGATATTGATTTAAAAATGAGATGCAATTCTAAAAGATATATCTGCGTGGAATAGATTGGTCATTTGCCAAAAGTAAAACACACTATACCAGCTCATTTAAAGGATAAATACAATTTTATATAAGAACATTCTGAAAATAAATTTATATATTTGTAATAAAATTTTTACGCCTACATTGAACGCAATAAAAACATCCCATATAAAAATAAAATATCAAAAAATCACCCTTACTGATATATTACGTAATGCTCTCTGAAAAAAGTGAAGCATGACAACAACCAAACGAAAAGAATCCATTTCGCTTGAGTTATCTACGAAATTGGGAATTAAGGGCGTTATTTCTTATACGTGATAAAGATGCTAAGACTCTGTATGTATTTTGAACCTTTTGTGTCATTTGATACTTACATGTAAACAATACTATGAATATTGTCAATGATTTCCTAAAAAATATGTTCAACAATTTAAATTTATTTAACTTGATTTCTTATTAATCAAAAAAATAATATTACGAGTAAATCACATTACAAACAGTAACATTTTATTATTCCATTCCGATATCAAAGTAATTATAAAATTTCATGCATAATAATTCTGCAGCTTTTGCATAATCAAGTAACAGGCAGAACGAAACACAAAAACACATACTTTTTGCATCATGTTATATAAAATGAATAAAGAAGTAATATAAGAATAAAAATAGGATATCATGTTTAATAATAATTATTTAAGTTTGTAAAATAATAGTTAATACTTTGAATTGTAAATGATTACTTCATCCGAGTACTATAATAAATCTTTGAATAAGACTGGAAAACATCCATCATTAACTGTCTCAAGCATTAATCACCTAAGTTCGTTAAAGATTTCACTTAATTCACAACAAGACTCTAACAACAATAATGAAGCGCTTTGGAGTTACAAAATGATGTTATTATTTAAATGAAATACTCTGGATATTTGATGCTCGTAGTCTCAAGATAGAAATTATAATTAATAAGGATTGAATTGTAACAAAATTATATACAGTTTTAAATAAATAAATTCTAATATGTACTTGAAGCTCCAGTGGCGTTAGTGAATCTTTTACTATTAAGCAACAAACTAGTTAAGCAACAAACAGAGCAGTCGTACCATGGATGGGTCATCGAATCGAAAAAACGTTGATTTATTATATGTTTTACTCGTAAAAATCTTAGATAATATTGTATATATTTATTTACGCTACAAAAAATACATTACTTACCTTTTTCTCTTATCAAGCTTGTTTAATCCTCGCGTAGGCCCAGTAATTACTTCTAAGGGATAACAATTTGGTGCTAAACGTAGGTACAAAATTATCTATTCTTAATTAAATTAACAGTTGATGTGTATATAGATATATGTATACTAAACTTTGGCAAGATAGTATCAGTTTCTCTATAATTATTATCGTACTATGCTGTTATAATTGATATTAATATTCATTACATAACTTACATAGTCTAGTAACTATTTTATAAGTCGGTACAAAGTTTACACTGTTACAAAAAATTATAACATATTATGCTATAACACTTCGGGAGGAGAGTGCATACGGTGCTTTTAATAAAAGTCCAATGGCATTTACCAAGACGCAAGGCCGCTAGCAAACTTTCTAAGACTTATAAACAAAGCTTAATGGAATTTGTACCCATAATAATCTCCTTACTGTCATTTACTATAAAA